GTAATGTATGTGGCTAATTTTGTAGCACAAGTACATATGTAAGATTATCTTCAGCCCAATTTATCCTTGGTGTAGGGTATATTCCTCTTCACCTGCCCCCACCTGATCATCTCACCCGTCTATGCATTTATTTGTAGCTTGGTGTTTGGTGTTAGTGGTAATGAAGTATTATTGTGCATGTACTAGTATTTGCCTCTGTTGTCTATATCTTATGTGAGCTTTTCAATGTCCTTCCTTTCCCCAGTGTCATCATGCTTGTCACAGACTTTTTCCATATCATCCCTCCCATCACCCAAATCAACATGTGACCCCCAACTAGTCCGAAATTTTCCTTCCTATCCCCAGTAACTAATAAAGTGAATTTCCTTCTCTAACTAAACCTTTCCTTGACTTTTTACAATAATGGGCTCATTCAATATTTGTCCTTCTGTAACTGACTTATTTCACTTAGCATAATGTCCTCCAAATTTATGCATGTTGTGAGATGATTCGTGTATTCTTATTATTCTTTAATATAGCATAGTATTCCATTGTGTGAATGTAACAGTTTGGTTATCCATTCATCTGTTGATGGGAATTTAGATTGTTTCCATCTCTTTGCTATAATGAATTGTGCTGCGATGAACATGGGTGTGCATATGTCTGTTCGTATCCTGTCTCTCACTTCTTTAGATTACATTCCTAGTAATGGAATTGCTGGTTCCAATGGTATTTCTATTTTCAGTTTTTTAAGGAAACCTCATATTGTTTTCCATAATGGTTGTACCATTTTGCAGTCCCACCAGCAGTGTATGAGAGTTACAATCTCTCTGCAACCTTAGCATCATTTTTTATTTTCTGTCTTGCTGAACTTTGCTATTATTGCTGGGGTGAGATGATATCTTGTTGTTGTTTTGATTTGTATCTCTCTAATGGTTGACAATGGTGAGCACTTTCTCATGTGATTGTCTGCCACCAGTATATCTTCTTCAGTGAAGTGTCTGTTCTTGTCCCTTGCCCATTTTTGAATTGGGCTGTTGAAGTTTTCTATAAATTTTGGAAATAAGTCCCTTGTCAGATACATCATAGCCAAATATTCTTTCCTAATCTGTAGGTTCTCTTTTCACCCTTTTGGAGAAGTCTTTCGATGTGCATAAGAATGTTAATCTCTGAAGGTCCCAGTCATCTGGCTTCTCTTCCACTGCTTGTGCATTTTGGGTTATGCCATAGATTCGGACCCCTAGATTTGTCCCTATTTCATCTTTGATGAGCTTTATAGTTTTGGGTTTTACATTTAAGACTCTGATCCAGCTTGAGTTTGTTTTTGTGTATGGGGTGAGTATGGGTCTTGTTTCATTTTTTTGCAAGTTGATATCAAATTTTGCCAGCACCATTTGTTAAAGAGACTATCTCTCCCCCACTTAATGGGTTTTAGTCCTTTTTCAAAGATCAGCTGTCCATAGATGGATGGGTCTATTTCTGAGTTTTCAATTCTGTTCCATCGGTCTATCTGTCTTTCATTGTACCAATACCATGCTGTTTTAACTACTGTGGCTGTATAGTTCAAACTTACTTGTATGGATTAACTTAGGTGTCAGGAAAATAGAACCCATCTGTATATAAAATAAGAAACTTAAAATTTGTGTCCCTCTGGTTTTTGTGTTTCTTCTTAAAATACACATGTATTTCTGCTAATAATAACTTTTCATTGTTTAAAAATGTAATTGCATTTAAATATACATGTATTTCTGCTAATAATAACTTTTCATTGTTTAAAAATGTAATTGCATTTGGTCTCTGGCACTTTCCTTTATATAACTTTCAATGAGAAAGAATAGATACAAATATGTCTGTGAGGTATGTAAGAATTCATACACATACACACACACACACAGAAACACACCCATGCACATCACCCTTGAGGCTTATTCTAAATTACCAGTTTAATGTTGTCCTCATTAGGGGTGCAGCCAGGGAGTGTCAAGCTGGACGCTTGCCTTAGTTATAGGGCTTGATTATAAAGCAACAGAAAGTGCCAAACCTTTGGAGTCTAGCTGGCAATTCTCTCATTTGAGAACCAATTCAATAAACTCTTTCAGGTTGTCCTTCAGAATCATAACTTCTATAAATAATTTGGTAGGGGAAATATTTTAAAAGGTTTATTTGAAATAAAATGTACCAAAGATCTGTTTATATATTACACTAAGAGTTGATTATATTGCAGCTCCTTAAAAGAAAACACTTCAAAGTAGGTCTCTTCACAATTTTAAATCAGGAAATAGAAGAACTTTTCATTACAATACATGGAGCTGTCCTGATACTCAAAGTGTAGTGAGTTAGCTTTTATGTACTCATGCAAAACGAAGCTATACGTACATTTCAAAACCAAACCCACTGCCGTTGAGTTGATTTTGACTCATAGTGGCCCATTTAGGACAGAGTAGAGCTGCCCCAGAGGGTTTCCAAGGCTGTAAATCTTTATGGTCAGAAGCAAACCACTTCATCTTTCTTCTGCAGGGTGGCTGGTAGGTTTGAACTGCCGACATTTTGGTTAGCAGCTGAATGCATTAACCACTACACCACCAGAAGTCCTTTTATACACATTAGGATCCCATTAAAAATCAATAACATTCATGACTCAGACAATGTAAATAACTGTGCCTTTAATTTTTAAAATATATTCTTTTTAAAACATTTTATTGTATTTTAGGTGAAACTTTACATAGCACCTTAGACTCCCATTCAATAATTTATACATAAATTTTTCTGTGACATTGGGTACAATTCCTGCAATGTGTCAACACTTTCACCACTTCCATCCCATCTGCCCCATTTTCATCCATCCACTTTCTTTGCCCCTTCTTGCCTTCTCATCTTTGCCTTTAGATAAATGTTGACTATTTGGTCTCATTTAGTTGATCGTTTAAAGGAACACATTCTTCGTGGATGTTATTGTTTATTCTTTAAGCCAATCTATTATATGGCTGAAAAGGGACTTCTGAAAGTGGCTTCAGTTCCAGGACTGTAGTCTTGGAGGTTCCTTAAATCTCTATCAGTTCAGTAAGTCTGGTCATTTTACATGAATTTAAGTTTTGTTCTACATTTTCCTCCTATTCTAACTTGGATCTTCTATTGTGTCACTGGTCAGAGCGGTAGGTAGTGGGAGCCAAGCAGTACCTAGTTCTGGTATCAGGCTAGAATAAGCCATGAGTCACATGGGCCATTAGTCCCGTGGACTAATTTCTTCCTTGAGTCTTTGATTTCCTTCACTCTCCTTTGCTCCAGATAAGACGAGACCAACAGTCGTATCTTAGTGTGCCATTAAATTTTAATGAATTTTATTTTATGCTCTTTGGTGTGTATATGTGTTTATGTGTATAAGAAAAGAAAGTTGATTTTCTTTCAAGATAATTTTATTGAAATTTAGCTATTTAATGTATTTCTTAGCAAACTGTTTTCCCCTTTTTTCCTCATTAACTTTTCATTACTTGGATTTAGTACTGGGAATCCTTAAACTCTCTGAAGTACTGCGATTGGTGGGAACTTGGTGGTAGAATCATTCCCAAATGATAGGCTTCCTACTACTTAAAATATCTATTTTTTAGCTGTTACAAAGCACTGTGTAGTTGTAAACTGCCTGAGAAAATTCTAGAGGTTTACTTTCTTAGCTTCTCTATGGAGGAGATATATATGTCCTTTATATATTAAATAAAGTTAATCATGGGAATGGTATATTTTTTTTTAAATTATTTATTATTCTTTGAGTCTCTTGAGAAATGAGCTATTTTAGCTTTGAACTTAAATGCCTAAAATTACTTACTTAGTCCTATGGGAACATGTTATATATTTCACCATAGTTCCTACAGGATAATTAATATTCTAAAGGATTGCACAATGATTTCATATATTTAATTTTAGGATTCATACCACCTATAAAACTATAAAACCTATAAAACTTTTTTCTGTCTGGAATGGAAACTTAACCACATTTTTTTCTGGCCAGTTTCTACCCTTCCCTCGGTTCTCAGATTTAATAAGACTTCCTCACAGAAGATCCCTCTGACCCTTCATACTTGTCCGGGATCCTCTAGTATATATTCTTTTTAAAAATTGTGGTAAAAACACACATAACAAAATTTACTACTTTAAACACTTTAAAATATACAATTCAGTAGCATTGTAGCTCTTTTGGGGCAGGGGGCATAAGTACATTCAGAATGTCATGCAACTGTCACTATCTACTTGAGAATATAAGGTATACTGTTTTTCTCACTAGGAGCACTTACCAAAACTGCAATAAAATTGTTAATTCTATAGCAAGTTTCATATGTTCACCTGTATATAACCCATTGCCTATTACTGTGGAGTTGATTCCCACTCATAGGAACCCTATAGGACAGAGTAGAAATGCCCCATAGGGTTTCTAAGGCTGTAAAATTGTGTTTTTGTTTTGTAATCTTTATGGGAACAGATTGCCACATATTTCTCCCATGGAGTGGCTGGTGGGTTCAAACTGCCAACCTTTCAGTTAACAGCCAAATGCTTAACCACTGTACCACCAGGGCTCCTTCACCTATACGTGTTGTTGTTGTTGTCATACATAGCCATAGTAATATGTAATATTAACATGTAGTTAGTTTCTTTGAGGGGAGCTCTGGTAGCATAGTGGCTAAGACACTTGCCTGCTACCCAGACGGCTGGCGGTTCAAACCCACCAGCCACTCCTCGGAAGGAAGGTTGGGCAATCCTACTTCCGTAGTGATACTGCCTCAGAAACGCAAGGAGGGGTCGCTATGAGTTGGGGCTGACTCGACGGCAAAACAACAACAACAACAACAAGTTTCTTTGAGAAGACATAAGATTCTTAATATTAGGGAAAGATTAAATGGTATTAGTTAAAACAGATTTATGTAACAGGCTGTTAAAATAGTCACTCTTTGTTTCTGCTGAAAAATAAAGCTTTGGAATTTCAGACAGGCACACCTGCAAACAGACCTTGCAACAAAAATGCATTTTTAATGCTAGATCCCAGTGTATTGGTAAATCCAGTCACGGTAGGCTGTCACTCTAGTGTACACCCCTGGCTTATCTGGCAGACCACATTTATACCCCCAGCTTACTATCCCCACGAGAAACCAAAGTCGCCGTGAGTCTTCTTGTACTAGTGGGCCACCAGAATCACCCTGAAGAAAACAGAATGATTGGTTATTCAGTGTGAAGATAATGCCAACACATTTCAGAGTTTATTTCTATAGTAGAAGAGGAAGAAATGGCATCCATCATTAAAAACCAAACCTATTGCCATCAGGTCAATTTTGACTCATAGCAGTATTTCAAGGCAGAGTAGAACTGCCTCATAGGATTACTAAGACTGTAAATCTGGAAGCAGTATGGAAGTATGGAAACAGACTGCTCATCTTTCTCCCATGGATCAGCTGGTGGGTTCAAATCAGCACTGCGTCACCAGGGCTCCTTCAACATTTACTATAACAATAAATAATAGTAGCCTGATGTTTTGTGTTAAAATATTATAACAAGTCATGCAAAAATTACTGCAATTATATAAGTATACAAGTTGTTCCTTCAGCAAGTCTGAGAAAAAGATGAAAAGTTCATTTCCAAGACATCCTAGTGTGGGCTACCTGTATGACTTCTACTCATTCCTGGTTTCACCTTCTTCAGGAATCCTTCTCTGACCTGCTACTTTGTGGATCACTCCTGCCCTTTCCAGCTTTGGGCTGGATTGGGTTTTAATTACCTGTATTCCTATATCCTGTGTATATCTGTATAATTTTTATTCATAATTTTATAAAAGTACATTTCTGTGTCTGTCTGAATGCTCAATAGGGTAGCCCTCCTTGTGACTGCAGTAATACATTTCTGTGACAGTGCATCTGCAATTCTTGTGCAATGTCAGTTTTCCCTGTTAGACTGTAAGCTCCTTTGGGGCAGGGGGCATAGCTATTCTGTACATTGCTGTATTCTAAGCTTCTAATCCATATTGTTGTTGTTAGGTGCCATTGAGTCAGCCCTGATTCATAGCAACCCTATGTACAACAGAACAAAACACTGCCCAGTCCTGTGCCAGCCTCACAATCCTGGGTCTACTTGAGCCCATATCTAATATATCTAATCCATAGAATATGCCAAATAAGTGTTTTTTGAATGAGTAAGAGTTTAGAAGTCTCACTTATCTTCATGTCTATAAACCTGCGTGGCACCAGATGCCTGTTGTTATTTGCTGTCGAGTCAGCCCCGACTCATAGCGACCCCTCCTTGGGTTTCTGAGGCAATATCACTATGGAAGTAGATTGCTCAACCTTCCTTTTGAGTATGAACCACCAGCCTTCTGTCAAATGCCTTAGGCGCTATGCTACCAGAGCTCCTACCGAATCCTAGTATACCCTCAGAAACTGTTCTTTTGGTGAATAATGGAAAACAGATTAATATGGCCATGAGTAAAACACTCCTTTTGAAATACTTACCAGCTAATTGTAAAAATAAACCAACCAACCAAAAAATACTGGTACATGTAGCAAGCTAATCAGGGAGACAAATCACACATGTTGTAATGTGAGTTATCTTTGGGTTCTGGAGTAAGGTAGCTTGGGTTTGAATCATGGCTCCTTCATTTACTAGTTATGTGACCCTGAATAAGTGATTTAATAGCTCTCTATGCTTCAGTTTCCTCATCTGTGAATAATATTTTTATGGGTTTAAGTGAATTAACATATAAATCACTTTGAGCAAAGCCTGGCATATAGTCAGGACTAATAAAAACCAACTGTTATTACTAAGTGTGCCTTGGGAATAGTTTGGCATTCATTTAGCTGCTTTTAGTAGGTAGTTCTCCTCATATCTGTTTAATTACTGGTCTAAATGAGTTGAAGGGTAAATATGTGAATCACCAACTTGCATGGCAAGCACTGGATGGAAGCATTTGTCTCCTTTAGATGATCCATACAGGCTCCAGTTAAGCAGTTCTCAGTACCTTCCCATCATTGTGCTTTTGCTGCTTTTTTCTCTATAGCAGGAAATTTCTCTGTATTATTTCTTTTCAAGAGTGGACAAGCAAACGTTAAACTACGAGGGTCAAGTGAGTTTTCCTATAGCTGGCCAACATCACTGCCTGTCTGCAGACATTTGAGCTTTGTCCTTTTATCTAGACTACTTGCTGAGTGAGGGAATGTGTATTATGCATTGTTGTGCAAGCACAGTAGTTAATTTTAATGGAATGAATGAATGAAAAAAAATGAATGGAAATAAATAGGATCTCATAAGAACTTGTACAAATTACTAATTCCTGGAGTCACAGACTATGCAAATGAGAGGAAAATTGATGAGGCCTAAAATGGAACACATAGGTAAGGTTTTATGATGAATTATTACTGAACTGGCTTGAAGGAAGAACAGAATTTGTATACACAGCAGATAAGGGCATTGTCAGTGAGCAAAGCATGAATAACACCTTTTTAAATCTCTTAAGTCAGTTTTAACTAATGCTCTTAGGAGATCTAGAATTGTCAACCTGGGGATGTGTTGGTTATTTGATGGGTGAATTCTTTAGAAAACTATGATGAAACTTGACAATTTTCAGTTAGAGGGGTAGCCATAAAAGAGGAGCAGGAAGGGGAACAAGAACATCCCCTACAACAAAGGTATCTCTACTCCAAGGGAGAAAAAGGGCAGAGTAGGTAATAACAGTATTTTGAAAATTGAGAAATAATTCCCCTCCATCTACAAACAACCTGTAGTTGATAATAATGCTTCCTGGGAAAAGTGCTTATAGATTGGTGTCTTTGTACAAACGATTTAAGTATTTCCCTCCCCAAGTATGTGAAGACTGAGTTTGGAAGTCAGTAACAGTTGATGGAAAGAATAAACCTTATATTTCTGTGTAGAGTTTACCCAGGAAAGCAACAGCACATTCCTCAGTGAAAACAGACTGATTTTACTTAATTTCAGGATACAAAAATATTTACTTTCTTCCACTGAAGTTGCTCTTGTTACTCTATGGAGTTGGGTTAAAGAGCTCTGGTAGTGCAGTGCCTAAGGCCTTTGATTGTTAACCAGAAGGTTGGTGGTTCAAACCCACCAGCTGCTCCATGGAAGAAAGATGAAGCAATCTACCTCTGTAAATCTACCTCTGTTGTTGTTACGTGCCTTGGAAACCCAGTGGGAGTTGCTATGAGTTGGAATTGACTGGATGGCAGTGGGTTTGATTTTTCTTTTTGGTGGCACAATGGTTAGGCACTCAGCCGCTAATGGAAAGGTTGGGAGTTTGAACCCAACCGCCACTCTGTGGGAGAAAGATGTGACAGTCTGCTTCTGTAAAGTTACAGCCTTGGAAAACCTATGGGTAAGTTCCACTCTGTCCTGTAGAATCGCTATGAGTTGGGATCAACTTGATGGTATTTGGTTTGGTTTTGGTTTGGGGTTGGATTTCAAATATATGAATAAAACTCTAATGAAAGGCCTAACCATGTCAATTCTGTTCAGATAATTTGATTAGAAATTTTAACATTAAAAGTTTTATTCTGGTTACTATAGAGTGAAAATTTCATAGTTATTGTTTGCTTTTGTATATTTTCTTGAACTAACTATAGGCAAGAGAGAAATTGTCATTCCAATTCTTTTCCATTTGTACTTTTTCACAACTGTAGGAGCTTCTGTAACTCAAATAATTAGGCTTTGTGCATAAATTTTCTACCTTCTAAGTGCTAACAGTCAGTTGTATTTATATTTTAAAATTTAATTATTGTTTGACTTTCAAATAAGTGATTATATTTTAATTTAAATTTTTGTAGTTGTTAAAAGTTTGAGATTAAAGTAATTAATGCAAGTAATCATGGTCTTGTGTTAAAAAACCAAAGCCAAACTCACTGCTGTCAAGTTAGTCTGATTCATAGTGACCCCTTCTTGGGTTTCTGAGGCAGTATCACTAGGGAAGTAAATTGCCCAAACTTCTTTCTGAGAAGTGGCTGGGGGGTTGGAACCACCAGCCTTCTGGTTAGCAGTCAAATGCCTTGTTGTTGTTGTTACGTGCCGTCGAGTCGGACCCAACTCATAGCGACCCCTCCTTGGGTTGCCAAGGCAGTATCACTACGGAAGTAGATTGCCCAACCTTCCTTCCGAGGAGTGGTTGGTGGGTTTGAACCTCCAGCCTTCTGGTTAGCAGTCAAATGCCTTAGGCATTATGCTATGCCTTAGGTACTAAAATTACCTGTATATGTGCCTGGCATATTTATCCTCAGTTAAGATTTAGTAGTACCTAAAATGTTAGGTACTATTATTATCTCCAAGAAAATTGATTATAGAGGTTAAGGAATTCAAACTCAAGTGCCTGTAATTTTTGAGTTTGTATACTTGACCACTTTGCAATTCTACTTGTCAAAATTTAATTTTCATGATAGATCAATTTCATATAAGAATTTTATCCCCAAAATCTAGATAATAAATTACAGGGGATCAGGACTACCTATTTTTGTTGTATTAGCTTTATGCCTATTATAAAATCACATACTAATAAGTGCTTATAAACTTCTTGGATGAAGACACTGATAAGTTATCTTGAACTTACCTGGCAGGCATCTACTCCACCCTTAGTAGCTCCAGCACACAGCATTCGAGACAAAACAGCTCCATTATAACTTTCTGGTGCATTACATGCATCATTACTTATTATTTTAACCTTTGCTTGCTCTAGATCTGTAACTGTGTGGCCTGTTGAGTATAAAATCGGAAAGGAAATGAACTTCAGGATATATAAATTAATGACTCTATGGTGAATATGGGAAGGAACAAATGTACTCCAAATATCGTTCCCTGTTCAATAATGAAGTCTATTGAATATGGTCTTGGGAGTTTCTTCCCAGCAAAGGGTCCCATAATAGAAAAGGATAACCCCTTTACACAGATCAATTTTTCTGTTTTTGCCATAGCTTTCTGATGCAGGACTCCTTAGACCTTGAGGGAAAATAAATAAATTGCTATGTTAAAATTGACTAGTAGCATTTAAAATATCCACTGATCAAATTTAAATTGGAAAATTACATATTGAATATTGTGGTGGTTAAATTTGTGTGTCAACTTGGCTGGGCCTGGTTGAGTGGCTGGGCAGCTGGATGTAGTATTCCCCATGATGAGACTGGTAATCAACTCCATGGTGGAATCTACTGTGAGCATCTGAGTAGCTGCCTTAGGGATGTGGTCTACTTGCATATAAGGAGAAACCTTGGGCAATGGTCTCTAGCTTATGGCATGCTTGAACCTTGCATGTAGCTGTGTCATTGTTCACCAGCTTGCCATTCTCTGCCGACCTGGGGAGCTTTAATGCACTTGAATTAATGGCCTGCCGTGTGGTTTGGTATCATTGGGACTGAGCCTTTTTACGTGTCAACCTTGGGCTTGTCAGTCTCATCAGCCAGTAGCTGTCTGAGTGAAAAACAGCCTCCAGCTCCAGTGGGCTAGGAGCAGGGGGCAGAGCTGAAGCCTAAGGTTGAGGGGCTTTCACCCAGCCCCTAGAGCGTGGCAGTTTGAACTCACACTTAAAGCCTCCAAACTGTAAGAGAATAAACTCCTGTTTGTTCAAGCATCCCATTTGCAGTATATTCCTATCAGAGCAGCACTAGGTAACCAAAACAAATATCCTTTAATCTAGTAGTAAAAGAGAAAACAGTCTGGTTTTAAGCTAAAGCATGAATCTATTTTAAGTTGATTTTTTTTTTCAAAATTGACACTTTCCATATTGACATAAATTCTATGTGGTATACCAGATTTCTTTGTACAGTAAAAATACAAATATTCTCTAGGGAAATTAAGCATTTGTATTATTCCTTAGAGAGACTATCTACAAATGAGTATAAAGCTGTGGAAATTGTTGGTACTACTTTCTACTCCCTGGCTGATATTCTTGACATTCCCCTTAGCTCCCTTCAAATTGCCTTTCCTTTAATTTTGGTTTAATTTAATTGTTAATGAAGCATAAGCAATGCTTAGACACACATGGAGTTCCTTGCCCTAGTTGTTGTTTTTAGGTGCTTTCAAATTGGCTTCAACTCATAGTGACCTTACAGAAAACAGAAGAGAGCTTTGTCTGGACCTGCACCATCTTCATGATCATTGCTATGTGTGAGTCCATTGCTTTGGTGATTGTTTGAATCCATCTCATTGTCCCAGAGGCAGCATTTAATTCATTCCAGAATATCTTAACATTGTAAAAGCTTATACACACACACATACATACATACATACATACATACATACATACATATTTGTATATATATTCAAATCTTTAAAAAAATAGGGAGGCATTTGAGTGCTAGAGAGTCTCTGGATCTGGACCTGTGGGCATTAAAGAATATCTTAATCCTTTTCTCTTACACTTCCTTTAACTAAATTTCAGAAATCTCCATGGTCTCTAAGGGCATTGCTCTGCTTTGCTGAGGGAACTCAGGCTAAACAGAATTAGGCTGACCAGGATATAGGATGTTTCTGTCCACAGAACCTGTCCCACCAGATGTTCCCTAATTTAAAATATTGTTAATAAAAAATAACACAGTGGTGGTTGTTTGCTTGTTTTTGTTTTGTTTTACCTGAAATACTTACCACCATGTTTTTGAGATCCCCATCCTGTTACATAAGCAGTAGAACCAGGCAAAATTTTCTGGGTAGCTGCTGGGAGACATACCCTATGGATAGTTTTGGTAAAGGTGACTCCTTTGTTAAGTTGTACAAGTGCAATATCATTTTCATGAGTTCCAGATTTATAATTTTCATGGACTAAAATAGTCCGAACTCTTACTCTCAGTTTAGGAAATATTGTAGAAAGACCAAAGGTGACAGTCCATGGATAAGGATCAGAATAGCTGAAAAATATAAGAACATGTTATTTGAATAGAGAATTTGTGAACATTTCAAATATTTGGATTTCATGTTTGCCACCCTCCCTAACCCTCTAACTAGGAATTATTTGATTGACATCTCTTTGTATTTCTGCATTACAAGCTAGTAAATGGGTTTAACTCTTTTATGGCCGAATGAATTCTCCTTTGCCTAAAGAAAAAGATATTTTAGAAAATATATTTTGGGTGATAAACTTGTTGGTGCTTTTCTATTCCATTGAGGATTTTTTTCTGCCACTTTGACAACCACTAGCATAAGGCAAAACTCCTCTTTGATTTTTCCCATTTCTAAACTCACTCATCCAAGCAATTTTTAATTCTAAAATAATAATGATTTTAGTTTTGGCTTATTTCTTCCAATCCTTACTTTTTCTATCCTTGCCATTAGCCAGAACCTCCTTTTAAATAGTAGTAGTTATAAGGGACATCTTGTCTTATTAATGGATTAATCGTTTTTCTGTAGGAAGTGTGATGCATGTTGAATATATATATATATATATATATACACACACATATATATACACATATATATATACACACACACACACATATATATATATATATATATATATATATATACACACACACACATACACACACACACACACTATGTATCAAAAGTGTTTCACACACATACAAAAATTAGAGTATTATCTTTGTGACCTAGGAATTGTGACTTTTAAGATAAGCTCTCAAAACACAAATTACTGGTTAAAAAAAATGGGTTGATTTAACTAACATAAATTAAGCATACCATAGACAAGTTTATCAGATGAATGAGAAACCATAAAAAGTATTTTCAACATTTGATATCTAAAGTTTTCATAGAATATACAAAAACCTGGAAACCAAAGATAAAAAAGACAGGAAAACCATAATAAAATGGGAAAAGAATATTAATAGGCAATTAATGCAAGGGGGAATCCAACAGCTAATCGATATTTGAAAAGATACTCAAACTCACTAATAATCTGAGAGATGCAAATTAACACAATGAGATTTTGACTTCTATTCATGAGAATGACAAAAATTAGACATGAGAATAAAAAATATGTTGGTGATGAGCAGGAGAAATTGGATTTCTTTTGCATTATGGGTGAAAATGTAAACTGTTATAGCCCTTCTGGAAAGAATTCTGCCTTTTTGCAAAGTATTTAGCAGATTGCATATATACTTCTAGGTATATATCTGAAAGACATTCCTGAAGGTTTAAAGAAGTTACTATATGAAGATTTATGTTTGTGGCAAGAGGAAGTTGGTAATCTAGTTGGATGAAGGAAATATGGTGGATGCATATTATGGAATGCTATGTACCACTGGACCAGATGAAAATTTTTAGAGTTCAGTGAAAATAGTAAGAAATCATGAGACTTATAGTACAATGAATGCTCTTTGTATAAATAACCACATGTTGTTGTTGTTGTTATGTGCCGTCGAGTTGGACCTGACTCATAATGACCCCTTCTTGGGTTTCCGAGGTGATATCACTACAGAAGTAGATTTGCCCAACCTTCCTTCCGAGGAATGGCTGGTGGGTTTGAACTGCCAGCCTTCTGGTTAGCAGTCAAGTGCCTTAGGCACTGTGCTACCAGAGCTCCTAAATAAGCACATATACACACTAAAAGAACACTATAGGTTTTGCAGGTTCATCTATTTTTAAAGACATAGTTCAAATATATTATTGTGAGACCTATGCAAGGAGGGCAAATGGAAGTGGGGCTCAGGAATGACAGGAGAGGAAAAAAAAAGAAAGTGAAAGAAAGAAAGGCTTCATACATAGTGATGAAAATAAGGCTCTATGAACTGGATAGTTGATTAGCTCAACATTGCTCTCAAGGTTGAATAAAAACAAAATGTAAAAATAACAATTGAAGAGTATTTTGGAGTTTGGACAGTGAATTGATACAGAGAATAAAAATTGTATGTCCAATAAACTTTTATAAGGTACAGTAGTTTGTATAAGAGTGAAAACGCATTAAAAATGGAAAAATATATTTTAAAACAAGTAAATACATGATTTTACATTCAATTTCTTTTGCTCAGGATATTTATAGAATATTGTTCCTGTATTAAAGTGACATAATGAAGATTCTAAAGGAACCCTTTTTTCCCATCTTCCCTCCATTTTTTCCTCCCTCCTTTTTACCCTCCCCTCTCTTGCTTCTTTTTCTCTTCCTCTTGTCCTTCTACCAAATGAATGAGTGTGGCTTTAGAACCAGATCGATCTGGATTTAAATTTTGGCTGTATCACATATGAGGTAACCATGAGTTGTAATTGACTTGGTGGCAACTAATAAGAGCATACCACATACTAATGGTGTTATTTAGGGCAAGTTACTTAATTTCACTGATCCTTAGTTTATTTATATGAAAAATATGATAGATAATACTCTCTTTTGTTGTTGTTGTTATGTGCCATCGAGTCGGACTCGACTCATAGCGACCCCTCCTTGGGTTTCCGAGGCAGTATCACTACGGAAGTAGATTGCCACATCTTCCTTCTTACATAGTTTTAAGTATAACTTGAGGCAAGTAAAATGTGTCAGGCAGAATGCTTGACACAAACTAAGTACCCAATAAAGGTAGCTATTATTTTCATTAATTATAGTTTCAACAACCCATTACTAAGTGTCTATTTGTATAAGGAATAAAAAAAAACTTCAGTAATTTATGATCTCTGTCCTTGAGAAATTCCACACACTCATGGAGGAGACTGACAAAGGCAAGTAAGCTATAATGAATCACAGAGACTATGGTTTAAGATAGGTAAGCATATTTCTGTAGGGACACCATGGGAAGGGAAAAGAGCATTAGGGAAAGCTTCATAAAAGAGGTGACAATTCCATAATCCACCCTTATCACTTCTGTCTATCTGGATGTAGGGTTGATCATGCCCCAGATATACCCACACTGATAGGTTCTCAGTGCGAATGGGAGAAACAGTGAACCTATAGGGAGGATGATGATGTGATTCATCTGATTTGTCAGCTTTAGTGGGTTACTCTTGTTCCAAGACTTTAAAATCATGGATTCCTTTTGTGGTTATTGGTGACATTTGTAGCTGGAGTTTCATTATAGTCATATTCTTTATTTAGATTTTTGTGTTTAGGTCTGAATTGGGATCAGAAGATACTATTTCTATGAAACTTTGGTTATGTTAAGGGTCAGCCAAGTCTAGGCATTAGCATTTCTGATTCCCAAAGTCTGGGTGATTGAAATAATTGAGTGCTACTTCTACTACTTGGCCTTTTAGGTGACAATGAAAATTGAAATGACTTGCAAATTGTATTCTTTCTATTATCTGAGATATAGCAATAGATCAGAAGCTTGCTAAATCTCAGAACATCTTTTAGAATAAATTTCAGATTTATTCACTGTATTTAAAAATGTTGAATTTTAAAATAACCATAAAAAATTCAGAATAATTTATGATTTCCTGAAACTTTTTTTTATAACCAGAAACTATGCAGTGGTGTTGTTAATCTTTACTTCTTCTTAATTTGACTTAACAAACACTTTTATAACAGCCATTCTGCTATAAGGCTGTGCCCTCAATTCTGCAAAAGGCTTTTTGGAAGCCATGAAGGTTTAATAGAATTCCAATTGGAAAAATGGAGATTTGGAAGGGACATTAACATTTCAGGCACAGGAAAGAGGTTGAGCAAATGTTCATTGGTAGAAAGTGTGGAGAGAGTCCAAGGGAAAAGAATAATGCTGTGTTATTGAAGCTAAGGCTTTATACTTTGAGAAATAAGTCTAGGCTGATTTGTCTATGAAGGACTTTAGATGTGTGGTAAGGAGGTTGGATTTTAGATAGTGGTAAATTATTGAAAGAGCCTAAGAGAATAAACATGACCAAGGGCACACTAAATTCAGTTTTTCATCACTTTTCTGAGTGAACTTCTTGAGTTTAGTTCCAATAGAAAATTACTGTTGGAGTCTAGGTTGCCCCATGAGTAAGACAGGTCTGAACCTAGCAGGTTTTCATCATGCTGATGTCTAAAGAAGTCCTGTCCTGAGCAATATGACTTTTTCTTTATCCTAGTAGAATAAGATGATTCAGTCTCCTCACCACTGGCAGCTTAGTACCCTAGGGTTAGCAATAGCCATTAGTCACCGTGATTACAGATAATTCTCTGTAAGTTGTTTAAATTCATCTTATTTATGGTACTCACTGTAATAGATTATTTTTATGCATCTATACCTCCATACTGAAACAAGGCGGGCTTGTGCTTACTCACTGATCTGCACTGAACACTTTCCCTTGTTACCCTCCCGAGAGGGACTGGGTCTCCAGGAGCTAGGTAAGCATGGGCATAGCACAGAGTAGCAGGCCGGGAGAGCAGGAGAAAGGGGTAAAACCCAGGAAGCCAAAGAGAAGAGCAATCAGCCAAAGGGATTAGGTGAGGAGGGGAAACTCAGGGACGCCCAAAGAAGCAGGCCAGAAGAACAGGAGAAAGAGGATTAAAAGACAGGAAGCCAGACAGAGGAACAGTCAGCCACATTGACCCAGGTGGGGGGGATACGAGAGGTCTCCAACAGCAGGACAAACTTGTCTATCGGTTTGTCCTACTGTGGTGACATGTAGACCGTGAGTTTTGAGGCTGAGCCTCTGGTGTTTAAAACCCAGTGAGATGCACCTGGTGCATAGGTAACAGCCAGTTTATAGACTGAGACAGACTAGGAAGAAGGAAGAGGCCGTCCACTTCTGAAAGAATTGGCCAGGGAAAACCTTATGAATAGCAAAGAAACACTGTTTGGTACATTACCGTGCAACTTTAGGAATAGTCCGTTTAGGCTAAAAGGCTCGCAAAATAGGACTGGGAAAGAGCTGCAACATCTGAGTAAACCCAGCCTTACTCATGGAAAAGAGAAAGCTTTCGAGACCTTCATTTGCTGATGTGGCACCACTCAAATTGAAGAGGAACAGCCACAGACATCCATTAATCATCGGAACATGGAATGTACGAAGTATGAATCTAGGAAAACTGGAAGTTGTCAAAACAGATCTGTCCTGGAGGAAGTGCAGCCAGAATGCTCCTTGGAAGCAAGAATGGCCAGACTTCTTCTCACCTATTTTGGTCATGTTGTAAGAAGGGACCATTCCCTGGAGAAGGATGTCATGCTTGGTAGGGTGGAGGGTCAACGAAAGAGGGGGAGGCCTTCAGGGAGATGGATTGATACAGTGGCTGCAATGATGGGCTCGAGTATAGCATGGATTGTGGGGCTGGCGCGGGATCGGGCAGTGTTTCGTTCTGCTGTGCATGGGGTCGCTATGAGTCGGAAACGACTCGACGGCACTTAACAACAACAACAACATACCTCCAACATTAGGATACAAGCTTCCTGAAAGCAGATTCAGTGCTTTATTTATGTTAACAGTTATATAATACCATGCTCATGGTAGATGTTCAATAATTTTTTGAAAGGATAAATTAATGACTTGGGGTAGTCTGTAGGTCAGCCATTAAACTGAATGATATAATGAACAAATCTCTTAAAATAGTTCGTTTTGCTAACATTTAACATATATTTACATACATCTAACATATATTTAGGAGCTCTGGTAGTGTAGTGCCTAAGGCACCTGACTGCTAGTCAGAAGGCTGGCGGTTCAAACCCACCAGCCACTCCTCGGAAGGAAGGTTGGGCAATCTACTTGGTAATGATATCACCTCGGAAACCCAAGGAGGGGTTGCTATGAGTTGGATCTGACTCGATGGCACATAACAACAACAACATATATTTACATTAGCTTATTTATTCCTATCAATAACACAAGACATAGATTATACTATTGTCCTTAATTTTTTGAAAAAAAAAAAAAAAAAGCCTTAGAGAAGTTCAGTAAATTTCCTAAGTTTCCAAAGATAATATTTAAACATTCTGACATACATTGCTCCTCACAATAATGCTATATTGTTACCTGAAATAGATAACAGTAGATTATTGCCAACTTGAAGGAGAAATGATAATTTTGCTATCATGGATAAGAAGATATGCCTCATTCATTTGTGAATTGAATTATTCCTGGCTCAACCATGTCCTGGGGGGACTAGGTAGAATTCTTATGTACATGTTTATCCTACTTGTTCACAGATGACAGGTACCTTCTGAAGCAGTGGGCCGCTGTCAGTATCCATGTGTTACTGATCAGGACACCTCCACAGTGGTGAACGTTACTGAGCTGTAGACTGACTTGCCATGGCCAGTCTCCTTCCTCAGCCTTAGAGCCTCCTATGATTCTCTCATCAGACAATGTGATTAGGTCTGAACGGGCCCCACATTCTGACGGAAAAAAAAAATGCATTAATGTGCTGGAAGGATCATGATTCATTTGCCTTTGGGAAATGCTACAAGTGTTTCCACATCAGTAACGTCTTTTCCTTCATCCTTTCCTTCTCTCACACTCCTTACTCCATCTCCAATTCACACATATACAGGAATATGTTCTTCACTATGACATGCTAGACTTTACAAAAAAGCACAATTACTATATTATGTAGTTAGAGTATATATGTGACAACTATTTCCTGTAGGCTGCAGTTTGGAAAATATTTCTGAAAATTAATTGGCATTTGGGCTTCAAAATCTGGAGCAGCTTCAGAGTTTTCTGAAATTCCTCATGAGTGGAGATTGAGATAGGTCGGAGCTAGATGTGCCAGATAATGCTACAGATTCTCTGGGGAATTTTTCTTCTCTACAGTCTTGCTACTCAAAATGTACACTGTGGACCTGCAGCATGGAAATCACCAAGGAGTTTGTTAGGAATGTTGAGTCTTAGGATTTACACTAGGGAATGAATCAGAAGCTGCATTTTAATGAGATGCTCTGGTGAGTTGTATGCACAGTGAAGTTTGATGACCATCACTGTTGTCCGAAGGACTTTGTAGTGGTATTGCAGTTCATTATTAAAGTTCCAAGCTACTTCCAGAATTGACTTATATTCCCAAACATCCTCTTGAAAGGGGGTTGCTATAGGTCTAGAAAGTATTATCTAGGATGAGTGGGGGTATCAGACATCTAGATGAGGTTTATTTAAAAGTCTTAAGAAAGCCCATGAGAACTCCAGGGTCCATAGCTGATTACTCTTCTTGCCCTCCACTCATAATTTTTCTTCTTATTTTGTTTATTACCAAGAACTTAGAGGTAAACCACCACCACCAATTTTTATTGCTCGGTTGGCTCTAGATTGGTGACCCTACCTCTATAGGACAACTACTCAAATACATTTTTTTTTTTTTCCCTAGCAAACTTCACATATACAGGAGGACAAAACTTCCATCAAGAATATACATGTAACATAGGTTTCTCTACTGCATTCCTCAAATAATTTCTTTTGTAAATTACTTAAGCATATTTTTATTAAAAAGAAGTATGAAATAAATATGTGAAGGAGTTGAAAAACATTCATAGGAGCAGCATTACTGTATAAAATCACTTGTATTCAAAATAGATCAGAGATCTATTTATAATGAATTAGTTTCTAACTGTGCAGTATCAGCAAGAGAAGAAAATTTGCTATTTTTTATGGATTATATTTCTGCTATCCTAGCCAAAGAGTATATAGTATAATATTTAAATGTAGCAACTTTTCCTTCAGATTATAGACCAAAACTGAAAAAATATACATATATATAATTACACTTTATGACTAGCCTTAATCCACAAAGTGAGCTATTCTGGTTGTTAGGGGAAGCCACATAAATGGTGTCACCAAACATAACTTAATAGTCTACAGAAATGCCACCATAAAACTAGGGCAGTACATGTTTCATAAAGCTCCCAAGAAATTTTTTATGAGGCCAAGCTTGAGTACAGAGTGAATGGTAGGCCATTGCTACTTCCTCTCTCTCCTAAAAGGAAAGAAAAACCTAAACCTCACTCCATGGGGCAGTAGGATCAGCAATATCTCTCAAAAATAATCCATCTTGGTAAAGGTAACTACATAGGTAAATATAAGTTAGTGTTATTGTACTTTTTATTTGTAACATCTCTCTTTTTTTTTTCTATATCATTTAAAGGGCAAGTGTTTAAAATAATATTTATAAATGTATGTTAGTGGACACACAATATCTAAAGACATAATCAGTGACAATAGCAATATAAAGAGGTAGGGATGAAGATATATATGAGCAAAATATTTGTATACTATTGAAATTAAGTTGATATCATGCAAACTAGATTGTTATAAGTTTATGAGGTTAATTGGAATCACCAGTGTAATCATTAAGAAAATAAGAGTACACAGAAAAAGAAAGAGGGCGATCAAAACATTACATAAAAGAAACTAAGTACAAAATCAATGGCACTACTGAAGGATATGAGGAACAAACAGCATATAAGACATATAGAAACAAAGACAATAGCTAAATTGAAGAAGTAAGGCCTTTCTTATTAGTAATCACTTTATGTGTAAGTAGATTCAACTTTCCAATTAAAAGGCAGAGATTGGTAGAATGAATTTTTTTAAAAAAACCCATCTACATACTGTCTATGCTGGCGGTTCAAACCCACCAGCCACTCCTTGGAAGGAAGGTTGGGCAATCCTACTTCCGTAGCAATACTGCCTCGGAAACCCAAGGAGGGGTTGCTATGAGTCAGGTTTGACTCAACGGCACATAACAACAACAACAACAACATACTGTCTATAGGAGACTTATTTTAGATAGAAATACACAAAGAGGTTAAAATAAAAGGATGGAAAAAATATTCCACGCCAATAGTACCCCAAAGAGAATTAGGGTGGCTATATTATTGTAAGACAAAATAGGCTTTAATTTTAAAAAGTCTCTAAGAGACAGATAAAGACATTATGTATTGATAAAAGATTCAAGCCATCAAGAATATATAGCAATTGTAAACAAACATGCACTTAATAACAGAGCCCCAAAATATACAAAGCAAACATTGACAGAATTGAAAGGAGAAATAGAATTCAGTACCCCAATTTAAATAATGGCTAGAATAACCAAACAGAAGATGAATAAAGAAATAAAGAATTCAAAAACTGTTGTTGTTAGGTGCCATGGAGTCGTTTCCCACTCAGCAACCCCATGCACAGCAGAATGAAATACTGCCCAATCCTGCATCAGCTCCATGATCCTTGGAGCCCATTGTCACAGCCACTGTGTCAATCCATCTCGTTGAAGACTTTCCCCTCTTTCATCGACCCTCCACCTTACCAAGCACGACATCCTTCACCAGTGAATGGTCCCTTCTGACAACATGACCAAAGTAGCTAAAATGAAGTCTGGCCATCCTCGCTTCCAAGGAGCATTTCAGCTGCGCTTCCCCCAGGACAGATCTGTTACTTCTTTTAGCAGTTCATGATACTTTCAGCATGCTTTGCCAGCACCACAACTCAAAAGCATCAACTCTTCTTTGTTCTTCCTTATTCATTGTGTAGCTCTCACATGCAGATGAGGTGACTGAAAATATTATGGCTTGTGTCAGGGGCACCTTAGTCCTCAAGGAGACATCCTTGCTCCTCAGCACTTGAAAGAGTTCCTTTGCAGCCGACCTGCCCAGTGCTACATGTGGTCTAATGTCCTGACTGCTGCTTCCATTAGCATCGATTGTAGAACCAAGCAATGTGAATTCTTTGACAACCTCAATCTTTTCTCCATTTATCGTGATGCTGCTTATTGGTCCAGTTGTGAGAATTTTGTTTTCTTTATACTGAGATGTAATGCATACTGCAGACAGTATTCTTCAATCATCATCAGTAAGTGCCTCAAGTCATCCTCACTTTCATCAAGCAAAGTTGTATCATCAGCATATCTCAGGTTGTTAATGATTCTTCCTCTAATCCTGATGCCACGTTTTTCTTCATATAGTCCAGCTTCTTGGATTATTTGCTCAGCAAATAGATTGAATAAGTATAGGGAAAGGATACAACCCTGATGCACTCCCTTCTTGATTTTAAACCATGTAGTGTCCCCTTGTTCCGTTCCAACGATAGCCTCCTGGTCAATGAACAGTTTCCACATGAGTACAATCAAGTGTTTGAGAATTCCCATTCTTCTCAATGTTATTCATAATTTGTCATGACCCACACAATCAAATGCCTTTGCATAGTCAATAAAACAAAAGTAAACATCTTTCTGGTATTCTTTGCTTTGAGCCAAGATTCATCTGACATCAGCAATGATATCCCTCCTTCCACATCCTCTTCTGAATCCAGCTTGCACCTCTGGAAGTTCTCTGTGAATATACTGCTGCAACCATTTTTGAATTATCTTCAGTAAGATCTTATTTGCATGTGTTATTAATGATATAGTTGGATAATTTTGACATTCTGTGGGATCACTTTTCTTTGGAATGCGTAGAAATATGGATCTCTTCCAGTCAGTTGGCCAGGTAGCGCTCTTCCAAATCTCTTGGCATAACCGAGTAAGTGCCTCCAGTGGGGCATCCGTTTGTTGAAATGTCTCAGTGGATATTCCCTTAATTCCTGGAGCCTTGTTCTTCGCCAATTCCTTCATTGCAGCCTCGACTTCCTCCTTCAGTACCATTGGTTCTAGATCATATGCCACCTCCTGAAATGGATGAAGATCGACCAGTTATTTTTGGTACAGTGACTCTGTGTATTCCTTCCATCTTCTTTTGATGTTTCCTGCATCGTTCAATATTTTGCCAATAGAATCTTTCAATATTGCAGCTTGAGGCTTAAATTTTTTCCTCAATTCTTTCAGCTTGAGAAATGCCGAGCGTGTTCTTCCCTCTTGGTTTTCTAACTCCAGGTCTTTGCACATTTCATAATAGCAATTGGCTTTGTCTTCTCAAACTGCTCTTTGAAATCTTCTGTTCAGCTTTTTTATCTTGTCATTTCTTCCATTTGCTTCAGCTACTCTCCACTCAAGGGCAAATTTCAGAGTCTCTTTTGTCATCCATTTTGGTCTTCTTTTCTCATCTTTTTAGTGACCTCTTGCTTTCTTCATGGATGATCTTGATGTCATCCCACAATTCTTCTGGTTTTCAGTCATTGGTGTTCAATGCATCAAATCTGTTCTTTAGATGGTCTCTAAATCCAGGAAGGATATATTCAAGATCATAATTTGACTCTTGTGGACTTGTTTTAATTGACTTTAACTTCAAGTTGAACTTGCATATGAACAGTTGATGGTCTGTTCCTTCAGCCCCTGACCTGGTTTTGGCTGAAGATATTGAGCTTTTCTATCACCTCTTGCCACAGATGTTGTCAATCTGGTTCCTGTGTGTTCCATCTGTGAAGTCCACATGCACAGCTTCCGTTTGTGTTGTTGAGAAAAGGTGTTTGCAATGAGTAAGTTGTTGATATTGCAAAATTCTACCCTGTGAGTTCCAGCATTATTTCTGTCACCAAGGCCAAATTTTCCAACTACTGGTGATTCTTCTTTGCTTCCAACTTTTGCATTTCAGCCACCAGTGATAATTAACACATCCTGATTGCATGTTTGGTCAATTTCAGACTATAGAGATTGATAAAAGTCTTCAATTTCTTCATCTTTGGCTTTGTTGGTTGGTGCATAAATTTGAATAATAGTCACATTAATGGGTCTTCCTTGTAGGTGTATGGATATTATCCTATCACTGACAGCATTGTACTTCAGGACTGATCTTGCAACATCTTTTGTGATGATGAATGCCATGCCATTCCTCTTCAAACTGTCATTCCAGGCATAGTAGATCATATGGTTGATTCAAAATGGCCAAAAGCAGTCCATTTCAGCTCACTAATGCCTAGGATATTGATCTTTATACATTTATGCATCTTTATGCATTCCATTTCATTTTTGACACCTTCTAATTTTCCTAGATTCATACTTCGTACATTCCGTGTTCTGATTATTAATAGATGTTTGCAGCTGTTTCTCCTCAACTTGTGTGGTGCCACATCAGCAAATGGAGGTCTCAAAAGCTTTACCTTATGCATAGGACTAAGGCTGGTTTTACCCTGATGATGCAGCTCTTTCCCAGTACTATTTTGAGAGCCTTCTAACTTCAGTGACTTCTCCTTCTCCTCTGTATTGGACAATGTTACTGGACTATTCATAAAGTTGTGCAGTAATGTATCAGACAGTGTTTTTCTGCTATTCATAAGGTCTTCCGTGGCCAATTCTTTGAGAAGTGGGTGGCCTCTTCCTTCTTCCTAGTCTGTTGTCTCAGTCTACAAGCCTGGCTGATACCTGTGCACCATTTGCATCCTGCTGTGTTTGAAACACCAGTGGCACAGCCTCAAGACTCACAGCAACACGTCACCACAGTAGGACAAACCGACAGACGAGTTTGTCTCTTAACTGTTGGAAACCTCTCCAACCTCCCCTTTCCTAAATCCTTGTGACTGACTCCTCACTCTGTCCCAGTTCCCCTGGCCTTTTCTGTCCTTTCCCCACTTTCCCACCTTGCTGCTTTGGGGTATGACCTGGGTTCCCTCTCCTCACCTGGATCTCTGAGGCTGATTCCTTGCTCTGTCCCGGCACCCCTGGCCTTCTTCCTCTCCTTTCTCCCACTCTCCCACCTTGCCACTTGTGGGGTGTGGCCTCGGTTCCCTCTCCTCACCTGGATCCCTGTGGCTGACTCCTCACTCTGTCCCAGTTCCTGTGGCCTTTTACTCTCCTTTCTCCTGCTTTCCTGGCTTGCTGCTTGTGGGGCATGGCCTGGGTTGCCTCTCCTCACCTGGATCCCTGCTTCTGACTCCTCTGAGAACTACTATAAACCAATTAGACTTAACACATATACAGAACACTCTACTCAACAACTCCAGAGTATATGTTTTTCTCAAGTCTACATGGATTATTCTCCAGAAGAAACAGTAATGATAACCCAAAAAATAAGTCTTAATAAATTTACAAAGATCAAAATCATACAAAATAACTTTTGTTACCACAGTGAAATGAAACTAGAAATCGATAACAAAAAGAAAACTGGAAACTTCATAAATAAAGGAAATAAGCAATACACTCTTGAAAATAACCCACCTGAATGAATAAAGAATTAAGGCATTCATTTAGCTTAACTAGTAAAAATGGTCTGCCTTGAACATTATGCTCTTTTAAGAACTATCTTATGTGATCAAAGTGACAAAAGTAACTAGAAAGATTAGATAGGAACCCAAGGGGGCAGTGAGTTTATCTTAATGGAGGAGGATCAATTCAGAAAAGCATGGTGAGAATGGTTGCACACATTGAAGAATGTAATCAGTGTCACAAAATTGTCCATGTAGAAATGGTTGAATTGGTGTGTTTTGTTGTGTATATTCTCATCAACAACAACAAAATAAATTTTAAAAATAGAATATAATCTATGACGAATTAAAAAGGAATACACTGCCTTGGCAAAGAGTACAGTGGCTTGCATATTTTACTCTTTATATTTTGGTAAACCATAGTTAAAATAATTGGAAAACTTACCTTTGGTGAACATATATTCTGCATCCTGACCAGTAAGTTCTGGTGTTAAAAGAAGAATGAGAATAAAATCATTACAATAGGGACTGTACACTATTTCACATTGATTTGTCAAAGTGTAGTACTCACATAAACCAGAATTAGAGTGGGAAGGCTTGCTAGAATCCACATTCTCAGGATCCATATTAGACCTACTGAAAGAATCTCTGACGAATGGGTCCCTGAAATCTCCTCTCAATTTAGTTTTATGCACATTGTTGTTGTTGTTATGTGCCTTTGAATCAGCCCCGACTCATAGAGACCCCTCCTTGGGTTTCTGAGCTGGTATCACTATGGAAGTAGATTGCCCAACCTTCCTTACAAGGAGAGGCTTGTGGGGTTGAACCTCCAGGCTTCTGGTTAGCAATCAAATGCCTTAGGCACTATGCTACCAGAGTTTAAGTACTCTTGCTTTAATTCTTCATCAAATATTTAAAAGATACCTCAGCTCTCCAGTCAGTCAGTTTAGTTGGGAAGACAAAAATACAAACAAATCACTGAGACATGATATAATAAATGTTTTATATCTACTGATACTATTTTCAAGGGGCTCTGGTGGTATAGTAGGTAAGGCATTTAGCTGCCAACCAGAAGGTCAACAGTTCAAATTCACCAGCTGCTTAGTGGGAGGTAGATGAGACAATCTACTTTCATAACAATTTACAGTCTTGGAAAACCAATGGGACTTTCTCTGAGTTGGAACTGACTTGATGACAGTGCGTTTGGTGTTTGGTCTCGGGATACTAATACTGTAGATATAACAAAGTATTGTGGTGTAGTGGTTAAGGCATTGGGCTGCTAACCAAAAGGTCAGTGGTTGGAATGCATCAGCTGTTCAATGGAAGAAAGATGAGGTAGACTGCTTCCATAAAAATTTACAGCCTAGGAAACCCAGTCAGGTCGCTATAAGTTGGAGTTGATTTGATGGCAATGAGTTTGGTTTGTTGGTTTGGTAGATAAAACAGTGAACAAAATATGGAGCCCAACTTTTACAAACAGAACAAGGGGATACTGCATTGTTTACAATCAGGTGGTTTCCTTTCGCCATACTTACTCCCTCTGTATGCTGAGAAAATAATCTGAGAAGCTGAACTATAGTTCAGAAGAACAACACAGTATCAGGATTGGAGGAAAACTCATTAAGAAACTGCTATATACAGAAAATATAACTTTGCTTACTAAAGTGAAGAGGACTTGAAGAACTTACTGATGAAGATCAAAGACTATAGTTGCAATATGGATTACACCTCAACATAAAGAAAAAAATCTTCACAACTGGTTCAATAAGCACCATAATGATAAATGAAGAAAAGATTGAAGTTATCAAAAATTTCGTTTTACTGGGACAATGCCCACGGAAGCAGCAGTCAAGAAATCAAATAACCTATTGCATTAGGCAGGTCTGCTATAAAAGACATCTATGAAGTGTTAATGAGTAAAGATGTCACTTGAGGACTAAGATGTGCCTGACACAAACCATGGTATTTTCAGTTGCCTCATATGCATACAAAAGCTGGACAATGAATAAGGAAGACTGATGAAAAATTGATGTCTTTGAAATTTAGCATTAGTGAAGAATATTGACTATAATGTGGCCTGCCAGAAAAACAAACAAATCTGTCTTGGAAGAAGCACAGCAAGAACACTCCTTAGAACCAAGGATGGTGAGACTTCATCTCACGTACTTTGGGCTTGTTACCAGGAGGGACTAGACCCTGGAGAAGGACATCATGGTTATTAAAGTAGAGGGTCATAGGAAGACCCTCAGTGAGATGGATTTGCACAGTGACTGCAAAAATGAGCTCAAACATAGCAATGATTGTGAGGATGGCACAGGACAAAGCTGTATTTCATTCTGTTGTACACAGGGTCTCTGTGAGTCAGAACCAACTGTAGGCACCTAAAAACAAGAAACATCAAATTTGTTTCCTCTCTCTTCTCTGGCCATTTTTCAATTCGTCCATCTGTACTTTACTGATTTTTCTAAAAGTGCATGTTATATCATATCCTTCCCTGCTTTATATCCTTTTGTAGCTTCTTATTTTCTGTAAGATAAATCTAAACCTCTTTAACAGGTTTTGAAAATCAATTTATGCAACCTTATTTACCACTAGAAATCTCACTAGGTTTAAGTATCACATCTGCTTTGCAAGCCTCAGTGGACTCAAATAATCCTTTTAAGGCAGGGAATAAAAAGTGCTGACCACTCTTCATTCTTTGAACAAGTGAGATCTTCTTCACATGCAGACTCCCCCACATAGAGATTGTATGGTCCTGGACAATTACCTACTTTCTCTAACATATTTATAGGATGTGCTTGTTGGGAGGAGGAAATGAAAAAAATAAATTCAAGGCATTTAAAACCATGCATAAAAACCAGTAAGTGCTCAGTAAATATTAGGTGTTTTGCTGACAGTGGTGAGTATAATGACAATGCAAACCAGTCATTCCAGCTGGCCCTTTCTTGTTTGTTATACAAAAGGAGTGTGTTTACTGTAGACTCTTTGTGTTTTCTAATGCTCTCCATCTCTGGCAGTATTCTTTCTCTCTTTTCAAAACATGAAAATCCTACCTGTCCTTTAAAGTCAAAGTTCTTCATGAGGCTTTTCTTAAGAAATTAGAAAATATCCTTCTTTCCTAAATTTCTATTGTGATTACTGTCTGTGCTTCATGCTTCTAATCTGATCATGTTCTTTCATGTTTGTCAATACTCTTGTGTTGGGATATCTTTCTCTTCAACCAATTTATGAGATCCTGAGAGATGGAGACCAATATTATACTACTGTTGTATCTCCATATTGGTTAACACAAAACTAAACAAAACCAAGTGCTTAGAAAGTGGTTTTGGAATAATTCCTTAAATATGTCAGAGCAAAGGTAATTTTCATTTATTTAAAAACCTGGATGGCACTGGCATCAACTAGTTAAAAAGAGGGAGCAGACCATGGAGCTAGAGTAGTGCCCTGGAGATTGTTGCTGTGCCAAACATTAACCCTTTAGTGGCAGGTAGAGGAGTCCAGGTTGTAGCGTGGAAGGATCTGGAAGGGCTGGGTAAATGCTTTGTGGACCTGGTTTATAAACAAATAGGAATGTATTTCACTATTTTTGCAACTAGTACTGTAGCATCAGGCATGTACTGATTGAATACCAGCCCAATGTGGAAGCCATCAATATCCTTTTAATCTTGAGATTATTATGAGGGGTTCATGTTTTATTAACATATCAGTACATGACAAACTTGGAGAGGTGTCCATAGATTCTATGCATATATTAAGTAACTCCTGTCTTTTAGACATTAAAACAAGTATTCATTGAGCATCTCCTATACACTGAGTACTGGGTAGGAGAAAGACAGTGGGATGAAAATGTAGACTGGTTCTTGACTTTATGAAAGTCTTGAAGACAATACAAAAAAATACACAAAAATTGTCATTGCAAGTGTGATAAATGATATGAAGGAGAATAAATGAGTTTACAACATAGGTAAGTAACTCAGTGATGGGAATGAAAGAAGATTTCCCTGAGAAATCAATAGTTTAGCTGAAAAATGAAGGATGCTAGGCAGTGATCTAGGAAGCATTACAAGAAACTGGAATAATATATGCCCTGAGGCAAGAAGGAGCTTGAAAGATGGAGAGAAAAAAATGGCCAGATTATAATGAATGAGAGAGAGAAAGACAGTGGTACAATAAATGACTGCAGGTACAATAAATGTATGAACAAGATCATGCAGAGTTTTAGGTGGAATGGACATATCATTTATTTTCCAAACTAGGACCTTTTTTTTTACAGTGAAAGGGAACAATATTAATGATTCTTAGAAAATTGTTCTGAACTGGAACTGCCCTGGCATGTCAGGAAGCCTAGAATCCACCTTAATTATAAGTGATAGTTTTATAAATTTTACATTAAAGGAAGTCATGGGGAGCTTTTAAGCATGATTGTGTTTGTATTTAAAAATATTTCTTTGAGTGATAGGTGGTCAGTAGATGGGAAATGTCCAAGAAAGGATGCAAAGAGAGTAGTAAAGATGCTATTACAATTGTCAATATCACCTCAAGTGAGAGATGATGTTGGCTTCAAACAGGGTGGTAGCAATAGGGAAAAATGAGAATGTGTTCCAAATAGTCAGAGGCAAAGGGGATTTTCAAAGAGGACCTAGAGTAGAATCAGGGAGGAGTTGGCATATTTTCAAACTTGCTTCTTTATTCTACATTTATTGGACACCCTCCAGTTGGACACCAGGTCCTATGTTGGGTGAGGTGGATCATTAATTAAATTCTTATTAGACCTTGAACAGTTATTTACCCTTCCAATAGCAAATTCATGAATTGAACATCTGGCAATGACATCCCCAACAAAGAGTGTTGGGAAGGATAATTAATAAAGAATTTTTAGCAAATGCAATTTATTATATGAATGATAAATCATTATTGAAATAAATCTTAGAATGTTTTATATTAGAATTATGTATTATATCTAGATTATTAATACATTTTTTTTTATAAAGTTTAATTCCAATGAAAGAAAAGTCAGCCTCTGAGTAAATTACAATGTGAATTGTTGTTGTTATTATGTGCCGTCGAGTCAAACCCGACTCATAGCGACCCCTCCTTGGGTTTCCGAGGCAGTATCACTACGGAAGTAG